GGGGGGGGGGGGTGAACTGGTCAGGAGAAAAAAAAATGTAGTCCTCAGTATCTTACACTATAAGAAAAACAGTCTCGATGTTTAGAAGTAGATCAAGCAACTATTTCTATAATTTTTTGTTATGTAATTTAATTTTTTACCACTTCTCTGTTTAAATCCTACTCATTCCATCTCTTTGTGTTAATTAACAAATAATACCCGTATGGTCCGAAAAATTTTTTTTTTTTTTAATTTAATCCAAAAATGCCTTTTACCGTTCTATAATCCTCATATAGAGCACGTAGTGTATATATAAAAGTACGTGGCCACAGCATATCTAGAACTCTAGAGAAGATGCTACTTATACCAGTCAGCAGAGAGCATCCTGATTGTTTATTTGGTCGTGCCCTACTAGGTACATATATGTATACATATATTATATATATTTACATATAATATCATTACAGCACATTGCATACTCATTTCATACGTATATATATGCAGTGCATATGCATATGTATGAAAAAAATGTACCTATCTACTCTTATACATATGTAATCGACGTAGTAGAACTTTAATATACACGAGCCATATGTGTCAAGTGTGCACCACCATGTTCACATACAGTAAACAGCCATATAACATATTGACTGGCATATATGTACCTATGTCGTATATGTGTTTCTTATATAGACACAAAATTACGTATACACTTGATATTTCGTTCATTTTTTTTTACGCTCACGTGTACGAATGTACGCGTAAAAAGAAAAGTACATACGTTTAATAGTTGCCTCTGCTCACTTGTCGATACACTAGGCCAATGAGCAAAAAAAAAATATATATATATATATATAATTACTGAAGTTTCAAATATACGTGTAATTAAGTAGTGAAGCTCGTTTACGTATACTAGAGACTAATTGCAATGAGGTGAAGAAATATTTTGAAAAAAAAATATATATATATACATACAGCCTTAAGAAAATAATACAGTGCACTCTGGGTTTGGTCGAATTTTTTTTTTTTTTTTTTTTTTTTTTAAA